TAACTAGGGTTATTTCACGGTTGCGTAGTTCTTCCTGGGTGATGAAATTGCAATAGGCGTACACTTATAATTTTGCTTTAAAAATCATAGAATAAAAAGCCTACATTGAGCTCTTCTCTTTTTACCATGATAAAGTGGAAAATCTGGTCCCAAGCAGACTACGCCTGACCTGTTGTTGGAACTTCCGATTTTTATTCGTTAAGCATCGGACTTTGCCATTCGGCGAAAAGTAGACGGCAACGCAAACGTAAACGGGTCCATCAGCTCAGCTCGTTGATAAGCATTATAATGAATTGCCTAGGGTGTATTCCATCCACTGGATTTGAAGTACTACCCAGCGAACTTAAGCAATGCCCCACGCGGAAAGCGCTGACAACTGAAGCGCAGCACCTTCCTCAAGCAAAGAAAGGAAAGATGCCTTACATATGGCATATTAAAATCCCCGAGGAAAATTTTGAGGTGGAAGTTAATGCAAGCCTACATCGAGCGCTACCAGACATGTCTCCAGTTTGCGGTTGGATGAACGGCTGCTTAATGGGTTATTNTTTCCTTTCAGGGAATGAAAGTCTGCGGACGATCATCGACACGAGAAAGTGCTTAGTCTTCTTTTAGCGAACAATACCTCGACAATCAAAACCAACTGTCGTCCGTAGAAAGCATCATGATACGTACACAAACCCACTCAATAATGCTATCATCTGTTCGCCCTACATGTACCACCTGACTGTGCCGGTGCTGAGAGACACACCTGCGAAGAGAAAGGTCTAGTGGTGTCGAAGATACCGCATTTCCAAGATTCTTCATGGACTCCCTCGCAGCAGGAAGTCGTTCAAAAGGAATCGATGCAGAACAAAAACTGATATGCTGACTATAAGAATCCGATTGTAAAAAGACAACGTAATTACAGCAATGGTCATGACAGGCATAAGGATGCACATGAACAGGATGGGGATGGGTAGGTGTTGAGACAAATTTCGATGCATATGCACATGGCTAAAAAAAGAAGATATTTACAAATGAATAAAATGGTCGGGTACCGATTTTGAAAAGAGATGGGAAATCAAACCCCGGGTCAAATACAATGAACCACGACTAAGGTGGCAGGTCGCAAAGAATGTGTGCAGTGACTCAAAATGACCTATACGTAGACCGGGCAATCAGCCCATGTCATTTCAAATAAAATAAAGAGAAGAAACAAACAAAGAAAAAAGGAGTAATTGCGAATTGGAAGAGAAAACAAAATGCATTGCATATCGATGATTCGGAAACGGTACTCTGTGACAACAGAACCGAGAAATGTACACCAGGTGGACATCATCAGAACAGGTAACAAGGTAAGGAATTGGAATGAATAGCACTGAACAGAGAGAGGGAGAAAACCTTCCCGCATTCACAGACACACTGACTGATTGACCCAATGATAGATGAGACAAGAGAACAAGTCACACACACAACGCTGTCGGACAGAGTGCACAAACGGCCTGAACGGAATCGGTATCAAATAAGCAAAGTAAAAATGAAGTCTGAACGAAGATAAAATAGGGAATAGAAAAAAAGAAGCCGTTAGCGGGTTGGAGATCATGGGAAAGGGCTGTCTTATTCACTATTCCCGAGGTCGCAGGTATCATTGGCAAATTCAAATGCAGGGTCATTATAAGAGGGGATGAGTTGGACAGAACGAATGCAGTGACATAATTCAATACGATTGTCAAGGGATGAAAAACATGTGTACAATGGAGAAAAATGAATATATGCACCATTATTTCTCGTCAGGTGCAAATACTTATTCGGGACCCAAAAGGAACAGATGAGATAGAAGGATGGTTTGGCGTGAATTTCGGTCTGTGTATATGTACAAATGATTTGTGATCTGGACGGGCAAATAAATCTCCGTGTTTGGGAGGAAATCAAAGAGCGGTATAAACAAGTTTCTCATCACCAGCACTCAATGCGTTGGGGCCCACTGCCGAGGTGATAAGATCCTCACCACCGGCCGCCGTTTGGACTAACGGGATAGTACCGGAAGAAACTGTAGTTCCAGCGAAAAATGCCGCAGTTGAGATGGCTGTTCGACCGTTTGCTTGTTGCTGTTGCTGCTGTTGTTGAGGTGTGGCAACTCGTCGCTGAGATGTCATAGTGACTGTCGTGGGTTGAGCAGACTGAAGTGCTTGTGCCTGCTGATTGAAAGTCATCCCAACAGCAGCGGTAGGCATGAACTGGGGTAAACCAGTAGTTTGAATCAGCTGTCCGTTCGGGCCGACAGCCATCACTTTCAATGGCGCACCCGGAGCCAAAGTTATAAATTGTGGAGCAGATCCAGCAACTGAGGCAGCATTCGGTTGACCACTGACAGTCACATCAGTCGCAAGCATTGTCGCCGCTTGTGGCTGAGAGTGAATGTAAGCTTGTGCTTGCTGTTGCTGCTGGAATTGTTGAGGCTGCGACTGAAGTTGAGGTTGTTGCTGCTGCTGTTGCTGATGAAATTGAGGTGCCTGTGGTTGTTGTTGATGCTGCTGCGGTTGCTGCGCCGCCTGCATCTGGATGGTTGGTTGGGCACGTTGTAGCTGAGCTGCAGCGTTTGTGCACTGAGCGAGTTGAGCTTGCTGCTGATGGTCAGACAGTAATAGACTGGTGAAGTTTGAGGTGGGACATCCGACAGGAAGGAGATGATAAGAAGTACCACCGGAATTATGGACACCTGAAACAGATAGATTGAAATCATGTTCATGTGCATAGAAAAAAAAATCAAGAAACGTCAATGCAAAACGGATCCAATAAATACCGACAGTAGAAAGCAGTTATGTATTAGTGACAGAGGTTGCATGCATTTCATATCGTGCACAAGCGGATATCTGTGATATGTTGTCATTTAGATAAATCAAATGCGTGAACCAAAGGTGTTGTAGAAATATTTTACTTCGCTGAGCTGGTGGACCGCAACAACCTTTCAAAGATAAACTGTGCATGAACAAAGTCAAACAACCTGATTAGTTATCCAGTGGTCAAGATTTTAGTATGCCTCCGGAAGCTTCAGCATGTTGTATTGGGTTGTGACTGGTTTCAGAAAGCCACTTTTGTGTAGGCCCTTGCAATAAACTTCCTGTAGCGGAGGTACTTCTCCTACAAAATGAGAAGACAAAAAGCTACTTTCCGTGACTTTAACCGGGAAAATGAACCAGCGGTAGTTCACCTAGGCGGGGGGTTGGCTAAGAATTCTGATCTCAAATCAACCAAAAGGTGTACGAACCACAAACACCATCCTGGCTCGATTGGTCACCTTGGACATTTGACAGCATCCAGCCTAGCAGTAGTATTCCGCCCCCTGGCACATCATGGAAGTTTTTTCTTTGTTAGAGGTTATTGTACGGCGATTTGCCTAGCATCCCACCTGAAAACAGATGCATGCGATTATTGTACCATGATCTGTTTGCCACACAGTCTGGATTCAGACGTGTATGAAAATATAATAATAGAGAGAGAGATAAATAAATTTGCACACGGTCAAAATAGTTCCTTCACTCAAAATATCACTCTCAAATTAGGTGTTATTGTTTGTTTCGTTTGCTTCCTTAACGTTCCACGGATCTCGGGAAGATCATTCATAACACGCGGCGACCATACACAATTGCAGTCAGCCTTTTTGATAGTACATCGAACGTGATCCAGTTTTTATAAAAAGAAATCATTAAATAAAAACGTTAAGTTGCTACAGCAACTCACTAATCATTATATTTGCGGTTTACCGTTAGAAAACAAAAAGGAGCTGTGGAAACATTCGGCTCGCAAGAAAAGTTGCGGAATTTCATTTCAATTATATTAAAAACCTTTTTATGCATATTTATTATTCCCAATCTTAAGCTGAATTCCTGCAACCTCAACTCCGCATTTAGGGCAGATTGTAGCACTGGTCGCGGTGGTGCAGTCACCCTATGGTTCGAGGTTCGAACCGCGCCAAGGTCACCCAACTTTGGTGGTAGGCAGCTCTGCTATCGTTCTATACCACGCCTAACCTAGTTGAACCTTAGCAAGTTCGCCACCCCAAGTCCCAAGAATTGGGTCATCGGTTGCCATTGCCGAATAGCAGGTCCTCACACCGTCTGCTCCTCAGCACACAAATGTGTATAGTGGAAAATTAGAGAAAACCGTTGGCTTGCTCAACAGTTCACATTTTCGATCTATGTCCCGGAATAATTTATCACACCATATTCCAATCTAGGAGTTGACCGTTCCCCTAACATTAGGCAGTACGATGTTGATTCAACTAGGACAGTAGGACAAATTGAACGGAGTCACCTACCGTCAAACTTAGAAGGGGGTTTCGGGTTGGAACGTCTGACCGTAAAGTTTGGAATTCGCCAGCAGTGTACAAGTTATGCCGCGTGATCACCACCAGCGCAACACAAACCCTGCAACCTAAAGTTAACTGCTTAAGGCTCACATAAAATTATTATTATTATCGTTGTTGTCGTTACCCGCGCCGTTTATCTGATTAATTCAAGGATTCAATAAACTTGCTCAAAAAAATTACATGATGAGAAAAAAGATAGGGGTGATGTGATGTAAAAAAAGCCACACAGTCGATTGTATTGGGGTTCATTGCTCGTGTCAGTGAGGTGAATCAATGAGGTTTCATTGGCCTGTTACACACAGTCCACTATGTCCAACCCTTACAGATGATGGATCAGTGCCAGTGTATCAAAGGAGTAAGAACTCTTCTTCCGAGCTCAAGTACGGCATGAAACTCTAAGTGGAATGAAGACTATTTATTAGCAAACACCAATATAGCGTGTAGGTTTTCAAGCGCAGTGAGAAAAAACGCTGATATTTACCTGCTGGTGCCTGGGCAAAGTAAATTTGCTGTGGATATGCGGTCGCCTGGGCAGCAGCACCAGCCGCTTGTAA